CCTACAGCAAGGAGATGCTTATTTTCAATATTTGTAAGCATTTGACACAACCTATTAAGGCAATTGGAAGATCCCCCAGTCTGGGACGTCCATATTGCTCATTGTAGATAAAATAAATATATAATCCAAATTTAACCTCACTTTCAAAAGCATATAAGATGGTCTCCGACATGTCTTGCCTATTTTTAAAATTTTTATGATGGTAAATATACCCTGGAAAATTCCTTCTCAGATTTTACCACCTGAAACTGCAGCTGTTGGCTGCCACTATCAAAGCCTCAGAACTCCAAACTCACGTGCAAACCTCATCAAGGGCAGACATTTCTAATTGATTCCAGAAGTATTTCTTTTGCTGAGATCAGGGGGCAAAGGAAGAATAATGAGCAGCTTTTCAGAGGGAATTGGGGGTAGAGTGTTGAGGCAAGGGGGGAGGGAGCTTTTAAAATCTCAGGCTTGGCCAGAAATGCATAGCAATTTTACGGTCAATTGGCGAGAGCATCTGGAACCATGCATTCTGGCCTCATAGTTGATGGTAGGAAAACCAGCTTACAGGCAACAGCAAGTCTGTAATGAGTCCCTGTCATGTAGTAGTGGAAATCATGTTGACATTCTGCCAAATATCCCTGCTCCTTTTTTCTTAGGGACAGGATTCCCTTTAGGATCCTTGTCTAGTATATGAAATCCTGTCCACCCATAGATCTTAACCTATTTTTTTCCATTCTTTATGGCAATACAAAAGAAAGATTAAAACTTAGAACTAGTGTGTGTTTAATTCCTTGTGTGTTGACAAGGCTTTATATCACAAGGCTGTGTTTGCTTTCATTTTTGGGATATATTTCAAGCTCGGCAGGCCATCTTGTTAGTGCATGGAGAGTGTTGGTGCTCAGGCCATCGATCATAGCACAGAGCATGGCACACTCAGCAGAGAGGAGGCAAAAGGCAGACCTCTTTGTTATTTCAAATGGAAGACAGGTGATTACAAAAAGAGGCAGGATCTTATTTTAAAATGCCAAGCGGAAAACCGAGGGTTATGTGGAAATAATTTCATATGACTAAATGATGTTTACTTTAAGCTGCTGTTCATAATTCACCAAGCTGACACTGGTAGATTACACCCACATATAAGTCAGGTAATAGGACAGCTATGAAAAACATAGAAAGATGTGAGTCAACAGGATGGAACCTGGGTCAGTATTGAACAATGAGCCACAGAACAAGCTGGACTTAACCTTCCTAAATCTCTATTTCACCCCAAAAAAATAATTAATAGGGATTGTATCCGTTTTAGAATCACTAATAAATCCAAGGTTTGTGATGCTGAACTAAATTCTACATGCTTGTTCTTATAGTTAATCTACCCTTCCCAGACATTCACTTTCCTGTTTTCAAGCAAGAAAAGTAAAACAAGCAAAGAGTGAGGCAAAATAAAATGAATCAAACAAAAACTAAACTAAAAGAAAAACGAAATGCATTTAAATACTTTAAAAGCATTCACTATATATATATTTTGGATGTAAAATTCTCCTTAAAACATCTATGTTTTGGTGAGTTCAGTATAACTGAATCAGAAACATAGGATTAGATCTCCTCATAACATATATGATAGCATATTGCAGAAAAAGTGATGGTGACTATCTCCTTTACTCAAAAATATTTGCAAAACCAACTGTGCACTAGGTGGGTGCTCATGCTAGTACTTTTAAAATAAGGGCCTAAGGGAGAAGTTTGAATAGGTAAGAATATAAACAATATGCATATCCTTTAATTTTCAACCATCTTAATAGAGTAAGAAGATACATACAAATGTCATACATTAACATTTTCTTGGATGCAGGCTCAGTCTTTTAACTTCTCATACATGGTCTGATAAGTTTCAGAAAATTTCATGTGGTAACTTCTAATCCACTGTGTTAAAACTAGTCTCTCCTCTCATAAAATAAAAAAGTAAAATTAAACCATATTCTAATATTGTTTTAATCTGTGTACCCGGTATTTTATTGCTCATAGAAAGAAAACAAGTAAACATTTTGAAAAGAATCTCAGGAAATGGAGAATTTATGTATATTTAAAAAGACCTCACATAAATCATCCCGAACAGCTCATTTTTACCTCCTACTTAGTCTATCCCATACTCAATGCATCAGTTATCTTCTAACAGAATAGCAAGTAATGTAGAAATGGAAGTTATATGTGCATTATGAATGAAATTAGTAATATAAAGCTCTTTGCACAGGATCTAGCACAGAGTAATCCTTTTTTAGTAGTAAGTGATGATAATGATAAACCTTGAGAAAAATTATATGTTTAGATTCTAAAAATAATTATAATGGCGGCAGGTGAGAGTGAAATCATATAATTTTTTTAATGTAGTAGTGATATGTAAACTACATCAGAAGTGAAGGAAGAACAGTAAAAGCTTAATTATGTGAACACAAAAATTCTCCAAGGAGATTTTCCAATGAACTCAATGTTCCTGTATTTTATGCTGTTCCTTTGAATTCTGCATTTTTGGATACAATTTAAAAAATTTCTTTATGCCCTATAAAATATTCTATTGCTGTTATAAAAGCAAGCAAGCAAACAACAGTGACCAGCAAGTTGACTCCTGCTCAAGATGCCCCATCTGGTCCAGAGCACAGCTGTGCTCCACAGGGTTGGCAACGGCTGACCCTCTAGAATCAGAACACCAAGGCAGCTCTAGCTCAGTGGGAACTGCCAACTTTTCTGCTAGTTGTTGAGCACTTAATCAGTTAGACCACTCAGGGACCTTGATAGGATATATGGAGATAATTTTCACACTTGTTGACTCACAGAGTATTAAAGATAAAATCTGTTATGATCTGGAGAAAAATGACTTCTATCGACCTATTGGATACATTCTTAATGAACAGTAACATGATGAGTATTTGGCCTATTCCAGGAAGACACATGTGTATTTAGTAATACAGTACTGTGGATGAAGGAGATTTTCAGTAAGTTTCAGAAGTTCTGATATGATATAGTGTAGATTTGGATTCATTTTAAGTTTGAGGACACTCCATACACAAGAATAGGGAAAGTTACCATATATATATATATATATATTTTAAATGTAATCAGTAAACCTTGCTACTGAAGCCAAAACTGTGGAATTAATCTTCAAATTATATGTTAGCATTATATTTCTCATGATCATAGCTTATAATAATAACCCTGCTCAGGAGTTATATAAACTTAAACTGGAGGTTACAGGAGGAAATGTAGGTGGGTATATCTAAATACTATATAGATAAAATAAATATCTATCTGTGTTATTAATGATGAATGTTTTAATACAGCTATCTTCATATGTGGAGAAGAGTATAGTATTAGATAACATTACTTTATGGAAATAAAATCCATTTCAGTTCAATCCAGGGGTGATGAGACAAGCTACAATCTGGTAGAAGATACATTAAAAATATAAATGCCAAATGATAAGTCTCATCATATAGAGAATATCTAAAAATCAAGAATAAAACAAAACAAAATTAAAAAAGAGCAGGTGAAAGACATGAAAGAGCATGTCACATGAAAGGAAACATAAATATAAATATAACATAGTCATTAACTATGATAGAAAACAAACAAACAAACAAAAACAGTAGTAATTATGAATGTAACGAGATAGTATATAATTGCCTATAAGGGAAAAATGAAGAAATTTGACAACCCCAAATTTGGTGAGGAAATTTATACTCTGAGAGCAGTAAATTTTACAACTACCCTGGAAAATAATTTGGCATTGTCTTAAGAACAAGAACATTTTCAATCCAGCAATTCTACATCTAACTATTTAACCTACATACACTCATATATGTGCCATGTGCTTTAGAAAATATGTACGTGAATTTTCTCTGCAATGCTTAGGAGAAAAAGCTAGAAGTGAATCTGGAATAATGGACAAATCTATTTTGTTTAGTAATACAATGAAATATATTAAAGCAATAAAATGAATAATGTACCACTACATGCAAATAAAAGGATGTTTACATAATCTAAACCCTCTTTTATTTCTTTCTGACATGAATGTTTGATCCTGAGTAGTACAAAACACAGAAAAGACAGTGGCCTGGAAAATTAAATTTTACTTAAAAAAAATGCTTAAATTATAATATAAACCAGCATGTACAAAGGCTGCAGATGAAGTGTACAAAGAATTAGCCATGTCTTTCATGGCTATCATTAAAAATTTCCCTCTCACTGACAGTGGGACAATGCTATGTTATTTGATTTTAATTTACTTTGGGCATGTATCTTTTAGAAGAATTTCATTAAGTATGTACAATTTATGCTTCTATGTCATTTTACTTTTAGACTACAATTCAAAGAAATAGAATAGATGTACACATGAAGTAAATGTTACAAAATGCCTATTTAAATGTACAATAGATAAGATGATATCCAAGATCCTCATTCCAAGATGTTTCATTTTTTTTGTTTTACACAAACACACACACAGACATAAAATTAAATCAGAAACTTATGCTTTCCTGTTTTCTAGTCACACATTTCACCTTCTCAAAGGCAACCATTGCCATGTGTTAAGTTCTTATTTATTTTTATTTATATAAGATACTTTCTATGAGAGCATACGTCCAACTTTTATCCTATATCATATTTTAATATATATATATATATAAACACTTCCCTATTAATGGTTATTAGGCTATTTCCAGCCTGCCATTATAAATAGCATTGTTATGGAATTTGGGGTGAAAGGGTATGTGCATCTGTAATTTGGATAGACAGCACCAAATTTTCTCCAAAGGAATTGTTCCAATTTACAATTATGACTAAATTATGAATGTGTCTATTTTAAAATCTGCTTTTTCCATTGATAATGAGACAAATGCTAGCATTTATATTCATGCTTAAATAACGTTAACATTTGCAGGTTACTAAGTACCAAAGGTTAGTGATATAACCATTATTTTTTAAAAAATGTTTATCTTTCAAACTACTAATACTGACTATAGAAACTATTCAACTGTTGTCTAATATGTAAAAAAATTAAATGTATACTCAAAAGTTCAATGTAGTTCTTGGAAGATAAGTTTATCACAGCAGATCATATCACAACTACATTTCAATCACAGAAAAATCTCAATGAACTCAATAACTTTATTTTTATTGGCTTATTACCTTTTATTGACAAGTGACAAAATAAAAACCAAAAAAGCAAACCCACTGTCATTGAGTCAGTTCCACCTCATAGCGACCTCCATTGGATTTCCAAGGTGGTGAATCTTTATAGAAGCAGATTGCCCCATCTTCCTTCTGTGGAGTGGCTGGTGGGGAACCACTAACCTTCTGGTTAGCAGTTAAATGCTTTAGGTACTGTGACACTAGAGCTCCTTACGTGACAAAATATTGTTTATAATTTTCTTTTTTCTAGCTTAAAAATAAAAATAAAATTGAAATGGCAATGTGTCTGCCAACACTTTTTTAAAGCACTTTTTGAAGACCTTATGTAATTTCTTTATAACTTGATGTAACATTAAGTTGTACAAAAACTCTGTGAGGCAAATGTTACCAGTTCAAATGTAGAGACCACTAAACTCAGGCATGTCAATATTAACCAGCACAAGATGATACAATTAATAAGTATTGGTGAGTGAAAACATAAATAAAAATAAAATACAGTTATACAGTTACTAGTCACAAAAAAAAAAGGAAAGGTTGGGCAATCCTACTTCTGTAGTGATACTGCCTCGGAAACCCAAGGAGGGGTTGCTATGAGTTGGGGCTGACTCGACGACGGCACATAACAACAACAACAAGTCACAAAGTAACTAGAAAACATTGTTGAGTGAATGAATTAAATTTGCAATAAACATATAATCCATGATACAGCATCCTTACCTCAAAAGTCAATGACAAGCAAGAGATGAAAGGCTTCAGGTGACCAAATCCACACAGCACTAGGAAGACCAAGCAACGGAAAGTTTCCATAATCGCTGCCTCGGGTCTGGAAATAAAATGTCATTAATATACATTGACCTTAAAGAGGAGTCCCTGGCTAGTGCAGAACATTAACGCTCTGCTGCTAAGGAAAGGTTGGAGGTTGCAGAACACTCTGAGGAACCTTAAGAGAAATACCTTCTGAAATGTCAGCCATCAAAAATCCTATTAAAGTACATTTCTACTCTGGCATACATTTTATAATTAACACAATGATACACTTTCCTTTTAGTTTCCAACAAATGCTCACTCAGTATTTGAATACATTTGAGGAACATATGCCTCTGAAGCTGTTTGAAAATAAACACTGAGAAAGAAAATGTATCTATTTAATGATAACCTGTACTTTATCAATGTATTGCTTAGTCTGAGCATGGTGGGTTAAGGGTTTCCTATTGGTAAATAAAATATTACACAAGTAAATTTGTGGAGTTTGGGTCTCTACCCTTATCTAATACCTTTATATTTCATTAATTCAAAAAATGCATTTATAGGAGAACTGACATACTTACCTGCTCTAAAATAAAGTTGAATTCTGAAATATTGGGAAAATGGACAAGGAGTGGTTACATGTAATATAATAGATAGCATAAATATAGGCCTCTGTTAATTCGTTTGTGGTGAAAATTTTCTATGTATATAATATCCTTAAAGATTCTAAAACTCTAAAACGTATGTAACGGGCATTTATATATATTCCAGATGAGTGCTGCAAATAGATAAGATTTTTATAAATAATAGTAATTAAGAGCTGATTTATCATCTTAAAATAGGCTTTATGTGATATCAATTTACCTTTGATAGATAATTAAATCTTTTTATACAAGACAAACAAAATTATAATGAGAAGTGAATTCTTTACCTACAATGTCCATGAATTAATGTTGTCATAATACTACCATATATCATTTAGTTAATTTAGAACACAGAGCTATAGAAAAAAGTGAAGAAAGCATAAAGTAATATATTTGCTGAATTTTAAAAAAAAAACCTCATCAGTCCATTAATTATGTCTCAATTTTTTCTAGAAAGAACCCTTTGTTGTCAAGTTGATTCTGAGTCATAACAACTCTATAGGGTCCTAGGGTCCAAGAGGGTATCCAAAGCTGGAAATCTTGGTGGAAGCAGACTGCCACATCTTTCTCTCACAAGGCTGGTGGGTTTAACCACTGACCTTTGGGTTAGTAGCCAAGTGCTTAACCACTGTGTCACCAGAACTCTTTATATTTTATGTTTCTATAAAACTGACTATAATTACAGTTTTATACAGAAAAAAAAGAACATAAATTTTCAAGTAATTTAAACTCAGTTAAAAATGTTTAATCTGAGGCGGGGCAAGATGGCGGACTAGGAAGAAGGATTGCACAGACCCTCTTCAACAAAGAAAAGGGAAACCAATAAATACAGACACAGAAGATAATCTTGGACCCCTGAGCCTTGAAGGAAAGGATGCAGATTTGGACTAAACCCCAACTAGCAGAAGAATTT